TCTGTTCACAGGGGTCCTGTCCCAGGTGCAGCTGCAGGAGTCGGGCCCAGGACTGGTGAAGCCTTCGGAGACCCTGTCCCTCACCTGCACTGTCTCTGGTGCCTCCATCAGCAGTTACTGGTGGAGCTGGATCCGCCAGCCCCCAGGGAAGGGACTGGAGTGGATTGGGGAGATCAATGGTAATAGTGGGAGCACCAACTACAACCCCTCCCTCAAGAGTCGAGTCACCATTTCAAAAGACGCGTCCAAGAACCAGTTCTCCCTGAAGCTGAGCTCTGTGACCGCCGCGGACACGGCCGTGTATTACTGTGCGAGACACAGTGAGGGGAGGTGAGTGTGAGCCCAGACACAAACCTCCCTGCAGGGAGGCGGAGGCGGCGGGCGCAGGTGCCGCTCAGGACCAGCAGGGGGCGCGCGGGGACCACAGAGCAGGAGGCCGGGTCAGGAGCAGGTGCAGGGAGGGCGGGGCTTCCTCATCTGCTCAGTGCTCTCCCTCCTCACCAGCACCTCCGCTGTCCCCAGGGCTCCTCTTTCTTTGATATCTTCTGTTTCCTCACATTCTTCTGCCAGAAAAGAAAGGAGGAAGGCACATTTTCCTCTTACAATGGAAGTTTCACCGATTACTAGGAAGTTTCCTACAAGTTCCTGCATGGCCCATTATTCCTTAGTGATTAAAAAAATATATGTTCTAATGATTCTCACCATCTCTTGGTTTGTGTCATCAATCGAATTGTGCCCTCTTTGAAATTCATATGCTGAAACCTTAAATTCAATGGATCTATATTGGAATTTTAATGATACAATTAAGGTTAAATGTGGTCAGAAGTGTGAGAACCTAATACAGTAGACGTGCTGTCTTTATAAGAAGAGGAAATGACACCAGAGACCTCTGCCTTTTCACGTGCACGCAGAGAAGAGGCCATGTGGAGACGCAGTGTATTAGAAGGTGCCCCAGTGCATGCCAGGAAGAAGCTGCACCAAGAAACAACCCTGCCAGCACCTTGATCTTCAACATTTAGACTTCAGAATTGTAAAAAAAAATCAATATTTGTTGTTTAAGCCACCCATTCCGTGTTGTCTTCTTAGGAAGACCCAGACAGACTGATACCACATAACTCATAACACTGTTAGCGCTGTCCCCTGGATGGAGATTCAGCCCCCTGAAGCTGGGCACATCTCTCAGATTTCTACATAAAGTAGGCAAAAAATAGTAGCTGTGATAAAAACTTGTCATATCCCTGTTGACCAATTTCTGGGCAAAGTGTTTTAATGAAGCCCCTGGGGCTTTGTCACAAAAGTTGTCTTTTATCTTTCATTACCCCTAACTAATGGACAATGGGTACCTGCTGGATGGAGACTGACCACTGATCATCTTCTGCTGTCTCCTTAGCATGCCACAGAAAACCACACCAATATCACTCTACGTCTTCAACTTTCTAAATTTGCACTGAATCTATTACTAAATGAGGAGTTACATGAGGTTTCAGTTTTGCTCCCTTCTTCCCAGTCTTCCTCAATTACCAAGGGCAGAAGAGACTTTCAATGAAAATTGGCTGTCAATGCCCCCAAAGCACATCACTTTTTAAGGTCCAGGAACTTTATTTGGGTGATAGTGAAATACACTTTTAAATGGAAAGCCCTAAAGCACATACAACAGCTGAAGGAATGGCCACTGTGTACCCGAAGGCAGATGAGGCAGATGGTAGTGGTAGGGTACCTTCCTCCAAGATGGTCCTGGGTGTGTGATGGTTGGATGTCTCATGCATATGGAATTAAGGACTGGACTGAAGTAGAAACGAGGGCCATATCCCATAGGGAAACAAGAAAAGAACAGGTGGGCATCCGTGAAGAGGTAATTAAATTTGTTGAGTTTAAGATGAAAATTTTTTCCGAAGTTTTTAATGTTCTTAGCTAAATATGAATCTTTTCGACTAACTGAGAATTAAAAGGAGAATAGAGTTAGAAGATGAGGGAGAAAAAAAGTCCTGAGAGAGCAGAAAGAAAATTCACACAAAACTGTCACATGGCAGAGGCCAGAATGGAGCTGATGCAGCAATGTCATTATTCTGCAGACCTAGTTGAGACCCTTTGGTGTTTAAGGCAGGCCCAACGGTGAAGAACTCCTTTAGTTTTTGCTTCTCTGGGAAAGGTCTTACCTATCCTTTATTTTTACAAAAAGATTTACATGGTAATGTTTCTTGGTTGGCAGAGTTTTGTTTTTCATTCTTTTCCCCCCAGCAATTTGAATACAATCATGGGCCACCTAACAATGTTTCAGTCAACAATAGACCATATATATGTTTGTGGCCACATAGCATTGTAATACCGTATTTTCACGAAGGATGTTCCATATTTAGATGTGTTTACATAGATACTTACCACAGCGTTTCAGTTCCCTGCAGTGTTTGGTGCAGTAACACTCTGTACAGGTGAGTTGTCTGGAAACATTGTGCTATTCCACATAGTCTATGTGTAGTAGGATATTCCTTGTAGGTTTGTGTTAGTTCTCCCTATGATGCTTGCACAATGATGACATTGACTAGAAATACATTTCTCAGAAATAATCTATCAATAAACCATACATTATTTAATATAATTCCTCTCCATTCTGAACTGAAAATCTTCTGCTGAGAAATCTGCTAAATCTGCTCTTTTACTCTCCATTTTCAAAAACCTTTCCTTTAGCAAAGTGGTTTCAAACAATCTCTGATTTTTCTCATTTGATTTACCTTATTTAAAATGTATAGAGCTTCATGGATGTGGACAAATATTTGCTTCTCCAGATTGAGAAAGTTTCTATGCTATTACTTCTTTAAAAACCTTTCCGCCTCTCTTGCTCTGTCTCTCTCTCTGTCTCTCACCCTCTTCCTTCACTACCCCTTTTGTCTTATCTTTGCATAACTCCTCAATGCATAATTCATTTTCATTGTGCTTCCTGACTCATAAGTCTTTAACTCTTTTTTATTTCTTTTATTTAAGTTTTTCTTCTCTGTCTCTA